AGGCTTTCTACTCCCGTAAAGATTTACACCCTTGGAAACCCTGTACAGGGTCGCTATGGGTCGGAACCGACTCGACGGCACTTCACAACAACAACAATATTTTATAAAATTAAAGAATAAACCAGAGAAAAGTAGCAACAACTATCATTTCAGTGTTATAGCTCATGTCTCAAAGATATGCAAATGTATCACAGTCCTCAAATGTTTATAGCTAGATAGTGTCATTTTAATTTTAACTTCTTGACAGCAAATAGAAAGCTGTTCCGTGTTTCTACTCCATGCTGATGGGAAAAAAATGTGAGAGGCAGGAAATAGTAATCTCCGCCACAAGTGAGAGAGAGAGGATATCTGAGTCCCTATAAGAGACTTCCTATGCTAAGTCCCTGAGGCTCAAAGGCATTACTGTGTCACTAAAGACTAATGTCACATAAACCTTTCCTCAAATCATCAGAGAAGCGCTTTCTTGATGCTTTCCCAATACTTCCATCCTTACTACTTCTTTCCTCAGACAAAAAAGGAAAACTATACGGAACAATATGGTTTGTTCGGATTAGTTCACATTTTCATCTACTGTAACTAACAGCATAATTCATTTCTTCTTTCTCTTGTTATTTTCCTTTCTAACAATTAGTCTCTAAGATTCTCACCTCAAATTTAAACAGAGGAAAAGCTAACCAGTGGTACTGTTAAGTGGAGCCTCAAATTCTAAAATAATGTCCCTCGCTACCTACCCAACCCCTGCAATTTCTTGAACAGAAAAAAAAAAAAAAAAAGGAAAAGCAATAAGAATACATGTATAATAAAGAAAGCTGGCAAGGGATGAGGATACTGAGGGAAATTTTAAATATAATAGTTGTTATTGTTAAGTGCCATCAAGTCGGTTCTGACTCATAATGACCTGTATGTACAGGGTTTCTGAGGAGCAGCTGGTGAGCTTGAACTGCTGACCTTGCAGTTCAAACAAACCTTGCAGTCCAGTGCACTAACCTACAGCACACACCCGTTACGCTGCTGTTAATGTGACATTTCCACATCACTGATCTCAGGAAGAATCAGGTAGGTAGTGTTGCTCAGGTACGATACTGTTTGAGGATACATTATGGTAAAAAGAAATCCATTTGACATATTCAAGTAAGACGATGTGAATAAAAGATCTGAATGGAATGTTACAAAAATATGTTATATATAAAAAGAATGTTATATAAACATGGAATGTTACATGGGCTTCTGGTCACCAACTGGATTGGCTGCAAGACGACCATGGGGACTTGCCAGAAAAGAATAAGTGAACTCCTTATGATGACTACCTAGTGCTTTTCCTGCCTGCCCATGAAAATCCCCTAGCCTGGATCCCTCCTCATGAGGTGGGAATCCATTATGGTACACCACCCAAACTCTAACAACGAGTTGACTCAGTCTCTGCCTTGAATCATCACACTGAAGAAGCCACCTAGAGCTCAGTTAGGATTTAACATCCAAGGAGCACAGGCTTCCCAGCTAGACATCTTCACCTCCAAGGCAATTCCTGACTCTGATGGACATGGAGCAGGACTTTGGGAAGGGGACCAAGTCCTAGCTGTGAATGATGTGTATTTCCAAGGTCTTGAGTATAGCAAGGCCCTTGCGATCCTAAAGACAACCTGTGAAATCAGCATGTGCGTCTTCTTTCCCTACAATTGTTATTGCCAAAACAGAGGACTGTGCCTTCCATGTAGAATCTGCCTGGACTAGGCCCCAGGAAAGCTACTTTGGAAACTCAACTCTCAGCCCTTTCTAACAGAGTGGAGGAAGTGGATGGTGAGACAGTGAGACCTTGCAATCAGCCAACTGCATTATCCAAACTGCATTATATGTTTAGTCACCTAGTCTTCTAGGTGAGTTTCATTTCCTGAAAGAAGGATAATGATTTGATATAACCTAACATGTGGGAACTCTGATAAAAAAATACAACAAACACTTACTGAATACCATGTACTAGACATTTCTATATAGGAATCTAAGATTATTTTTATTATAGAAATTAGTAAAACAAAGAATCCTGGGGGTTGTCCATCTAATGTGACTGGTCATCTCATCCGTTTACTATCAGAGGTCTCATACATTTCTGAGACTCCGGGGGGATCCTGCTTTTCTGTCCTTTCTCTTATAGTCTCCCAAAAGAAGTAAAATACAGTGCTGAGGAAATGGTGGTGTGATACTTTGGAATGATACTGATTAGGTGTAGAATGCTACTAGGTCAAGAAGAAGCTGCTCCAAAGAGAGGAGTCGGTAGAAAGAACAGAACAATCTTACTCCTGCTTCACAACTATCTGTGTCTGGCCAGATCATTAGGGAGGCCCAGAAACCTTGACAAATGCCCTAGAGAAAAGAGTACTAGGGGAGTGTGGCAGTTCCATATGATAAACACTGAACTACAACCATAAAGTCTGCAGTTCAAGCCCACCAGCTGCTCCATGGGAGAAAGATAAGGCTTTCTGCTCACACAAAGATTTGTTCACAAAGGATCACTAGGAGTCAGAACCTATTAAACAGAACTGAACATCAAAGAATACCAGGGGAAATAGTGGCCCCATGTGGGGAACAATATTAATACAATTCTGTCTTTTTAGTTCTTTGATCTGAAGCATAAACTAAGGGAGGGGCTTAGAGATGCATTTCTTTTCAGAGGCATGGTTCCTAATTTCCAATGTATAGATTATTATTTCATGACTGATGACTTCCCCCTTTTCTTCACCCTATTGCCAATCTGCCATGTTCTTAGATCTTTAGTTACCACTGTTGGAGTTTCCAGGCCATATTTTAGGCCATCTCCACTGCATGTTCAAAATTCCTTCAGAACGGAAAGTGTTCTAGTGAGGTATAGGATAATGTTCCCCCATAATAAAG